AATAAGAGTAGAACTTACTTCACATTCTATTTCTACTTGATTTTTATAGTTTAAGGAGGTGAGTTTTAACCCTTGTTTGGTGGAGATTAAAATCAGATTTTTAGTAGATTTTGATAAAAGTTGATGAATTGTGTGGTTGAAATATTGATAAAAGTTATGAATCTCATAAAGTGTGTGATTAAAATTAATTATTGATTTTAACTTAATTTTTTATTTATTTTTTAAGGTACACCAAAAATGGGGCGTAATATACATGCATTGGAATTTTCCTTATTACTACACAATGACTGACATTTTCAGTTAAAAACTAAACTGATTGTGGAAACATTAGTTTGGCAATAATGAAATATGTTGTGAAAAATTAATCCCACTAAATGCGGCAAAAACAAGAACCATGCTAGAGTTATAGCATTGGTTCACAGTTTTTTTTCATAGCCCCTCACACGGGAATGGGCCTGCGATTGTGGATCCCATCCCCATGTGAGGGGCTGTGAAAAAACTGTGAAACAAAGTCATACATTCGGCTTTATTTCAAAAACAATGAACACAAAAAGGAGTACAAATCAAAAAACACAGTTTCTCTTGTATCAACTTTCTCTCTCTTCCTGCTGTGGGCGGCTCACCAAGGAAATAATTTCACTCCCTATACGTGCCTACGATTTTTTTCTCTGTTTAGCAAAAAACTCTACATCCCTAAAAGCAAAGGAGCAGTTTTTCTTCTGTCCGTATCTCTCCGATTTGATCAAGAAAGTTGCTACATGTACATAATTTTTGTGCAAATTTGTTGACAGAAATAAGATTCAAATCTAGGGTCCAAAAACTGTCATCTCATATTCTGGCAACCAATCTATAAATCAGCCATGTATAAGTAGGAAAATTGTTTATTCAATGCCAATTACAAATATTTATAATGAAAACCTTCAACTTTGGGTCTCAATTAACCCTAGCCCCAACCTTTATTTTTCTTAGCTGGCGGCTGACTTTCTTTCAAAGAACTAAGTGCTTGTTCTCTTTGCTATTTTCAGGTCATTTTCAGTTTTCAATTTTCGAAAGCACTGAAAACACGTTTACTTACTTATTTTCATAAACAAA